TTGAACCTAGATTTTCCCGATTCCAAAATCCCAAATCATCATTCTACTTCACCAGCTCTTAAATTCTCCGGACCTAATAAATTTTGCAAAATATAAAGTATTCCTTTCGGAGAGAGGTTGTATAGGTTAACCCAGAATGGAACAGGAAGTGATAAACGGACACAGGGTGCTAACCCCAATTTTTCTATCGGAGGTTATTCTCTGAGGGAATTATTCCCTAAGAAATCAGTGGTAGGGTGTTTCAATACATGGCTGGGGAAGTATTTGGTGTTTTACATAAGCTATATGACCCTAAAGCAATTCTATGCAATAGGTATTATTTTCCCCATTTCCCAGTGGCTGAAACTAAGGCTTAAAGAAGCTAATTCATCCAATGACATACAGTAAGTGTCAGAGCTAAGACCAAGTTAGATGAGATGAAAATCTTGCTCCTTGACTTTGTACACTTTTCAGCATACGCCCATTGTCTTCTGGAAAAACCCAGGCTCATATTGAGACTATTACAGCCAGAAACTAAAGAGGCAGCAAAGAGCTAGGATTGAAAGCCTACTCATGGATTCAAGCTTGTGCAGCAGCTGAAGTGCACTTGTACAGCTCTGGGATGCATGGACCTTCCACTGGCTGGGAGAGAGAATTCTACACATGTCAAATGGAATGGCCAGTACCTGGCCTCCCTCTCCAGGATAGATAGGAAACACACTGAGGTCCTTACCTTCATAAAAGGTAACTACAGGGAACCTACAGCATCTTACTTAATGATAAAATACTGGAAACAGGGCTTCCCTGGTGGCACAGTGGTTGAGAGTCCGCCTGCCGATACAGGGGGCACGGGTTCGTGTCCCGGTCCGGGAAGATCCCACATGCCGCAGAGCAGCTGGGCCCGTGAACCATGGCCGCTGAGCCTGCGCGTCCGGAGCCTGTGCTCCGCAACGGGAGAGGCCGCAGCAGTGAGAGGCCCGCGTACCGCAAAAAAAAAAAAAAAAAAAAAATAAAAATATATATATATATATATATATATATATATATACTGGAAACAGCTCACTAAAATCAGGAACAAGACAAGGAGGATGGCTATTGTTGCTTCTATTCAACTTAGCACCGGAAGTTACTCTAGCCAGTGAAATAAGAGAGGAAAACATGAGAGAAACATCTTTTTGAGGGTAAGCTTGGATGAATAATCTACCTAGCTCTAATTTAAGCTCCAAGCATCACAGAGCCTTCTCCAATGCCCATCCCCAGCAACTGGACAGTTTTAACTCTCCCCAGTGCAACTCCATGCCAGAGCACAGTAAAACCTAGTTGGGATGTGCATCTAAATCCCTTACCTCCTGGGACATCCCCCCCACCCCACCCCGGTCCAGTGGTTAAGACTCCGCACTTCCCCTGCAGGGGGACGCAGGTTTGATCCCTGGTCGGGGAACTAAGATGTTGCATGCCGTGCCAAAAAATAAAATAAAATAAATCACTTACCTCCTGCTGGCTCCCATCTCAGGCACACATAGACCCTGTTGTTTTTGATTCAGCTTTATTTTCCCCCAAACCTCGGTTCACCTTATTACCAACAATATCTCCCTTCTTTGAGTGTTTGTCATTCTCTCCTAACTTCCCTACGGGAAATCGGAAAGAGCTGAGAAAGTAGATCTCTGATCCAGCTTTTACGGTGAACAAAGATAAAAAGAGGTTGGGATGGGTAGCCTTGGTTGCTATCGGGGCAAAATACAAAGAGAAATTTAATTGAAACATTCACATAGTCACAGCCGAAGGCAGCATAAGGATGGAAAGAAGTAGGGTTTGGAATCAGACAGATTCAAGTTTGCATTCTGGTGCTGCTCACTTATTAGCTTTATGTCCATAACCTCACTGAACTCCCATTTACTGTCTGGAAGATGGAAGGCTTTCTGAAGGTCTAAACGAGATGGGGACAAAGGGCCTAAGCACATGTGAGCCTTGATACACTTGCCTCCTGGACTTTGGCAGATACTAGTGGTTGCCCACCCAACGTCCAACTCCTCCACACACACTCCCTCCTTTCTAGTAGCATCCCCATTTTCTTTTTTTTTTTAAATAAATTTATTCATTTTTATTTTTGGCTGCGTTGGGTCTTCATTGCTGTGCGCAGGCTTTCTCTAGCTGCAGCAAGCAGGGGCTACTCTTCGTTGCGGTGAGCAGGCTTCTCACTGCGGTGGCTTCTCTTGTCACGGAGCACGGGCTCTAGGCGCACAGGCTCAGTAGTTGTGGCTCGTGGGCCCTAGAGCACAGGCTCAGTCGTTGTGGTGCACAGGCTTTGTTGCTCAGCGGCATGTGGGATCTTCCCGGACCAGGGCTTGAACCCGTGTCCCCTGCATTGGCAGGCGGATTCTTAACCACTGTGTCATCAGGGAAGCCCAGAATGACTGCTTTGATGAGAACGAGCTTAAAGACAAAACCAACACAAAAGGAGAGCAGAGCAGAAATATGGAAAGGGCCTACGCCACTTGATGAGCTGCCAAATGAGCCAACCTTGGACGTCGTGTTACTAGAGATAACAAATGTTATTGTTTAAGCCTCTTTCAGCCAGGTTTCATTACTTGCAGTGGACAGCAGCCACAGTGATACATGGACCTTGAGCCTGAGAGTCTTTGGGAGTTCACGTGCCTAACAAAAGCCATGAAGTGCTAGCACATACATAGTAGGGACTCAACATCAACGTTGTGTAATATCAGACCAACGACATTCAACAGTCCTCTGTAGAAGGATATGTAAAAAGACACTCTGGGGGGACCTCAATGACTAGATCATATGAAAAACATTCCTGCGTTTCTCCTCTGCCATCTTTAAAATGCTTTAAACCCCACCCATTTGTATATCTAACAATTACCGAGCTCCCATACTGTGGAAAGAGCAAAAGAAAAATGAACGTGGGAGCCCTTCAAGGGGATCTTGGGCTCATGGGCAGACAATAAGACAAGTCTGAGTGGTACAGGAGGATTGTGATGTCTATCTAGACCCCAGCTGAGGCATAAAAAAGGGAGGATGTCTGGGTGGGTGTACACCGACGCAGTCAGGGCTGGGCGGAGGCAGACACGTAAGCAAAGGGAGCAAAAGGCACATGGGCAGGAGGGCCAGCCTGGCCCCAGGCCTGTTAGGGGAGCCTCGCAGGGTGGCTGGCCTGGAGCGGAGTGTGTGGGCTCAGCGTGAGGATGAGGTGAAGCCCCCGTCTGAGAGCAAGGCCAAGGAGGAAGCGAGCTGTGAGGGGCAAAGTCCTGCAGAAATGTCACGGGGTGGTCTGCAGCAGCAATGAATGGAGCGCCTTCCTGTGGCCAGAGAGGCTACCTCGGTGAGGCTCTGTGGCTGGAAGAAGTCCCCACTGAGGACAGAACTGTGCCGATTGGAAACTAAAGGCAACATGGACACAGAGTCCTGGCTGAGGAATCGAGAGTCCTGGGTTCCAGCCCCTGTTCTGCCACTGGGACTGTCATTTCTCCTCTTTGGGCCTCAGTTTCCTTCTCTGTTAAATGACAAGATGGGGCCTATGATCTTTACAGCCCTCTCAAACCACACTATTGTAGGGTCCTGAGTCAAGGACCAAGCACGCAACACCATATATGGGACATATGGAAGATCTGCCTGGGGCAGAGGTGGTAACCAGCCTCCACCTTGAACGCCAGTTCCAACTGACTGCTTGTGGATACCTGGAGTGCTGTGTGGAGAAAAACTAAAACTGCAAAGGACTCTGAGCTCTGCCAAAAAGAATGCTTGATTGATTGGTGATGTCTGCGTGGGCTCAGGATGCCCAAATGGTACAAGTGACAGGGAGGTGCCAGTCCCAGCTTAACGTTTTGTTTCCTACTACGGTTGCAATTATGCGCCAAACGCTCCTGGTGTAAGGATGCTGAAGATTCGTTTCTCCTGGGAGCCTGTGAAAGCAGCAGCGCCAGGGTTCCTCCTCCAGTCTGCAGCTTACCAAGCCTGTCCTTACTCAGGCAGATACCCTCGGGCTGGGCTGCCACTTGTTCCCAGTCCTCCAGGCTTCTTGCTTTTATCCCTGCTGTGTTCATCACCTCTAAATGTCTTGTCTTCGGCCTGTAACTCTGACCTCTCTTCCTGCAGCCAAGCAACTAATTAATTACATGACAGGCTCTCAAACTGAGAAAGGCAACCTTCCTTTAAAAATTGTGGTCAGTGGGGCTTCCCTGGTGGCGCAGTGGTTCAGAGTCCGCCTGCCGATGCCGGGGACACGGGTTTGTGCCCTGGTCTGGGAAGATCCCACATGCCGCAGAGAGGCTAGGCCTGTGAGCCATGGCCACTGAGCCTGCGCGTCCCGAGCCTGTGCTCTGCAACGGGAGAGGCCACAACAGTGAGAGGCCCACGTACCGCAAAAAAAAAAAAAAAAAAATTGTGGTCAGTGAACAATCCTGATCATTTCTCTCCTTTGTCTTTTATTTCCTCTTCCCTGGTGTCCTCCTCCCCGCCCAGCCAGAGTTATAGCTTGAAGAGGGATGGCCACAGTGCCCATAACAGACAGGGGGGTTATTTCATACACTAGGGCACTAGGCTGTGGTACAGCTGGCAGGAAGAGAGGGGTAATTATATTGCATGTTGGAGCCACTGGCAATGAATTTCTACATAAAGGACTAGATTTACCATGTATTATTTATGCCAGCATCAATTTTCCCAGCTGGCTCTACTTACTGTGCAAATTCTCCTCTGTCTGTTTATGGGCAAGGCCATGGTTCAGCACCTCTGGTTACTCGACACTATGGAGGGGCCCCACAGGGCACCACGCACGTTAAACAAGTGGCTGGATTCACGGGGACCAGGTCACATCTTCCCTTCCTGTTAAATTATATTCCTGGGACTGCAGTGAGCTCCCGGTCTCACCTGGTCATGGTGATGCATGCAGGTTTGTGAAACCAAATGGGCAAGAGGGAAAGAGGAATAACCATTCTTTGAGGCCTCACTAGGGGAAACTGAAAAACCACCTTCTGGGGGGAAAATGGATGGCTCTGGGGCTCAGAGAATTTCCTTTGTATGTTTTTAATATCAGGACCTAGATAAAGAAGAGTTTTGCACTTACAAGGTTAATTCCACCCGGTAACTCAAAGAGAGAGTTAAAAGAAAGGGAGCCCCATCTTACAGATGGAAAAACAAAAAGAAGAAGAAGGGAAGCAAAGTCAAGCTAGAGGCCTCAGACTCGGTCACTGTGTTAGGATGGAGTGCAGTACGGCGATGCACAGGGTTATCTGTCCAGGCACCAGCATGCCTCTTCAGAGATGCCCAAGACACTGAACTCGACACCTGCTGGAAACATACGTGGTAGACACAAGGGAGGAAAACCTGGTACCGGCATGAATTTCTGGGTCCTTCCACAGTAGCATCCTCTCTAGCCAGTAACACTGTGTTTCCAGAGAGAGGAGCTAAGGACTAAGATGTCTGCCCAGCCCAAGAGCTTCTATGCAGCCACCATTTCCCATGGTGGGAGGGTTTGTCCCAATCAACAGCAAGTCACATGTGATCTCCCTGTAATGTTGGGCTCTGCACTGGAGTCCCCCAGGTCCCAATGTCCACCATCTCCTGGAAACCTGTTGGCTGGAACAAGACAGGAGGGGAAGGTGAGTTTTTCAGTTGAGCAGCCCAAGTGGGTAGCCTCTTTGGCTGCTGGGTCTCAGTATCCAGAAGTTCCTCGATGAGGAACTATCTGTGGGCACAGAAGCCACCCTCAAGGGCCCAGATTCCTGGCTTTCCCCTGGGGTTGGCTCACCAGACGGGGAGATTTGGTCAGACATGCCATGCGCCAGCTGCCTGATGCTCCTGCACCTTGGCCGGTGTCCAGGAGAAGCCGGGTGCTGGGCACAAAGCTCCAGGAGCGTCCCAGGGCAGGTTTGAGCTGCCCGCTGTCCCTGTCTCGGGTCATGTGATTGGTCACCTGCGGCAAAAAGAATCAAAGGCTTATAGATCTGTAATGCTGGTACAGACGACATCTGCTCCTATGGCTTCATTTTATAGATGGGAAAGCTGAGGCCTAGTACAAGGAAACAACTTCCCCAAGCTTCCATAATTTATCAACGGTCTGGAATCAGAACCCTGGACTCCTGACTTGTGCAGAGCTCTTGCCACTAAACCACAACGTTCCAGGCTTGATTCCAATAAAAGGTAACGGGGCATGTGTCTGGGAAAAGCAGTGCTGTCCGCTTAGGCCCACTACAACCCCAACGCAGCAATCGGGCATCCTGAGACCACGTGCACCCACCCCTTTGTGTCAGGGTGTGCATCTGTGTGTATACGTGGGAGGGGTTTTGGAAGGCCGGTCAGCTCTACTCTGCCCAGGCTAGTCTCAGGTAAGCAACGCCAACCTCAGTGCATCCTCTTGACGTTAACCCCTGCTCCCCACCCCACCCCTGGGCAGAGGTGTGGCTTGTTCATCATTGAATCCCTGCTGCCTAAGCCAGAGCCTGGCACACAGCAGGTGCTCACATACATCCTACAGTCTGGAGAGGGAGGCCTTGGGACGCAGTATAAGAACAGAAGAAGGGACTTCCCTGGCGGCGCAGCGGTTAGGAATCCGCCTGCCAATGCAGGGGGACATGGGTTCACTCCCTGGTCCGGGAAGATCCCACATGCCGTGGAGCAACTAAGCCCAAGCGCCACAACTACTGAGCCTGCGCTCTAGGGCCCATAGGCCACAACTACTGAGCCTGCGTGCTGCAACTACTGAAGCCCACGTGCCTAGAGCCCATGCTCCACAGCAAGAGAAGCCCACACACCACATAAAAGAGCAGCCCCTGCTTGCTGCAACTAGAGAAAGCTCATGTGCAGGAACCAAGACCCAACACAGCCAAAAAAAAAAGAACAAAAGAATAGAAGAACAAAGCCCCTTATGCTGCTGGTAGGTGCACAAAAACTATAACCTTCCCGGCAACTTGGCAATGTCATATGTAGACATTTAAAAATATGTTTGTCCCTGACTCACTGATTATACTTTTAGGAGTCTGAGGAAATATGAGATATGTAAAGCGATTTAGGTATAAGGATGTTCACTGTAGTGTTTTTTCTGTTTTTTTTGTTTTAGATTTCAAAATTTCAACTGAATTTAATCTGCCTAACTCATAGCAAGGTGACTACTTCAGGAGGAGTGATCATTTCAAGGATATTTCTCTCCATTCCAGGTTCACTGTAGTTTTAGTTAAAATAGAGTAGGGACTTCTTGGTGGTCCAGTGGTTAAGACTCTGCCCTTCCACTACAGGGGGTACAGGTTCGATTCCTGGTCAAGGAACTAAGATCCCACATGCCTCGAAGCACAGCCCAATAAATAAATAAATAAAATAAGATGGTGTAGTATAGTTGGCCCTTTGTATCTGCGGGTTCTGCATCCACAGATTCAACCAACTACAGCTCAAATCCACAGTTGGTTGAATCCACGGATGCAGAACCCACGGATAGGGAAGGCAAACTGTATTTACTGCCTGGTCCTTTAGAGGAAAGGTTTCCTCACCCCTGTAACATAGGTATTAAACAAAATAATACATAGCTGCTAAAACTGGCATTCTTAAAGAATCTATTAAAAGACATGGGAAATGGTGGTGTGTGTGTTTTTTTTTTTTAACAAGATTACAGTTTAGTTGGAAAGTTGGTTAAAAGTATATGTATATATATGCAGAGAAAAAAGATTCTACGGAGGTATATAAAAATATTAATATGGTTTCTGTGGATGTGGAGATCGATTACAAATTTGACTCATATTTAACTATTTTTTACCCTCTTTCATGAGAAGCATGCAGACTTTTAAAAACCTACTCCATAAGCAGAAAAAGTTACTTTAAAAGCCAAAAGATCCCTTTCTATGAAGCTCTGGAAAAGGCAAAACTATTGGGACAGAAACCAGATCAGTGGTTGTCTGGGGCCGGAGGATCTTTCTGGGGTGACAGAAATATTCTGTATCTTGATTGCGGTGGGGTAACAAGGCTGGAGATGACTGTATCAAACTTCAAACAAGGAGAAGGTTACTCTGTATGAATTATACCTCAATAAAACTGACTTAAAGAAAGTAAAAAGAAAAACAAGACTGTCCCTGATCCCTTGGCTATTTAAGGTCCGATCCCCTCCCAGTCTGGTGCTCTAGATGACCCAGGGAAGTTGGGCTATGGTCCTTTCCCAAAGGGCCACTTTGGGGGTTCAGAAGCTGCTCTTTAAGGGAAATAAAGAACTGTAACTAGAAAGAATATCTCCCCACTTGGTGAAGCCCAGGGACCAGAGGTAAGGCAAGGATGGCTAGCCAAGTCCACTTCCTCACCACCAGTGCCACGCTGAGGTCCCGGGCCAGAGTCTTCAGCTCTCGGGCCAGCTGCATCATCAAGGCCAAGCCTGGGGAAGAAAAAGCAGAGAGGGTGGGCAGCAGGGCATCGGGGACCAGGCTGGCCGGAGACAGGACTCCAGAACCGGGAGGCAAGATCAAGACCCCAACCCTGGGCTCTGCCACACCACTCACCTTCCCTCTGCTGACCACCCAGAAGTGGGGCGACCACCGCAGTGACCGAGTCCACAACCACCACCTTCAGAGTCCCTGAAGAACTGCTCACCTGTGGGGTTGATGGGAAGGAGGCGCCATGAACCAGGTGGCCTCTAGGGGGCGACCACTACCAGATAAGTCTGCTCCTCTTCCAGAAACTGGTAAGAAATAACCTCCCCCACCCCAAATACAGCTGGGCATGTATGATGGAATTTCAGAAATGTCTTTTTTTTCCCACCCCCATTTGTATGTATAACAGATTTTACTGAAGAATTGGGTGGAAAGAGAGAGTTTAAATCACAGCACATCACAGATACCCTAAAATAATTAAATTTGAGAAATCCCTGCTCAGATCCTGTGGTCCCCTGGTCAGGAATTTTCTTAGTAGAATCTTTCTCCTTGTGGCCAGTCCCCCATCATCTTGTCAGGCTCTCTTTTCCTTCTCCTGCTTACGCCCCAAGTTCCTAACTTCCTTTGCTGAAGAGGTCAGCCTTCTCTTTACTTCAGTCTCTTTCCAGATTGTGCCTCTAGGGCCTAATCTTCCATATCTAAAAAGGTTCCTGGGGCTTCCTTCACGGCGCAGGGGTTAGGAATCTGCCTGCTGATGCAGGGGACATGGGTTTGAGCCCTGGTCCGGAAAAATCCCACATGCCGCAGAGCAAATAAGCCCGTGTGCCACAACTACTGAGCCTGCGAGCCACAACTACTGAGACCACGTGCCACAACTACTGAAGCCCACGTGCCTAGAGCCCGTTCTCCATGACAAGAGAAGCCACCGCAATGAGAAGCCTGTGCACCTGAATGCACATGAAGAGTAGCCCCCTCTCACCACAACTAGAGAAAGCCCATGCACAGAAACAAAGACCCAACACAGCCAAAAAAAAAAAAAGTTTCCAAATATAGACTATATAGACAGCCACCTGCTAAAACCAGGAAACTAGGAAACATCCTCCTAGTTTCTTGGACCTAAAATGTTTCTTGTCCTTGAAGCTTCCCTTCTCTTCTCCCTTATTCCTTATATCGAACCCATTTGCCAATTCTGTTTCCATAACTGGTTTTTTTCATCTCATGTTGGCCAAGTCCTGGATATTCAGCTTATCTTGTCTGTCTTTTGCATGTCTCCCCCTTCACATCCCAGTTATTGACTCTTGGCCAGTCACTGGCTGTCTAAGGGACGCTGGCAGAAAAGAGAGAGATCAGCTTAGCCCTTCCTTACTCTCTGGGAGAGCAGGTTGAAATCTCTGGCCAAAATGGGACAATAAGCCGTTTGCCGCTTTTAACAATGGGGCTATCAGGTATCTGTGGCAGACAGACCTCACGATCCCCACCTCTAGGTGTTTGAGTCCTCTATGATCCCTTCCCCTTGACCCTGGGGGAGTCCCATGACTTGCTTTCTTACTAGTCAAATGTCAAAGGTGTTAGGATGTCACTCTTTTTTTGGCCGCACTGCGTGGCTTGTGGGATCTTAGTCCCCGACCAGGGATTGAACCCAGGCCCTTGGAAGTGAAAGTGCAAAGTCCTAACCACTGGACCGTCAGGGAATTCCCTGGATGTCACTCTCTTGATTAGGCTACATTATACGGCAAAGGGAATGGGCTGCCACCCCATGATTACATTATGTTATGTAAGATGGCATGTTGCGTTTTGCTCTTACTCTTGTGGCTTCTGCCAGCAACCAGCTGCCAGCAAGGAACTGAAGCTTCTAGGAAATGAATTCTGCCAAAAACCTGAATGAACTTGTAAGTGGTTCTTCCCCAGTTGAGCCTCCAGATAAGAACACAGCCCAGCTGCCACCTTGATCACGGCCTAAAGAGACCCTAAGTAGGGGACCAGGCTAAGCTGTGCCCAGACTCCTGACCTACAGAAACTGTGAGGCAATAAATATGTGTTGTTTTAAGTCACTAAGTTTGTAGTAACTTGCTGTGCAATAATAGAAATATATACCAGCTAATGGCCCTACAGTAAAAAATATCGTCTTTTGACCTGAGAATTGAGAGATTTGGGTTATAAGCTTTGTTCTTATCCTAAATATGCAGTGACTTTGGGCAACTGACTGAATGTCTCTGGCCGTCACTCTCCTCATCTCTAGAAACAAGAGGGTTGGATTAGGTCAGAACTACATGACTTCATGTCTCAACACATGGGGGTGTCATAGCCTGCTACGATTCCTATGACAAGTATTTGTTCAACTATTGTATGTTCTAAAGTTTGTAAAAATGCTTTACTTTATATACAACCCTGGGTATGCCCATGGGAACATGTTATGCTTTGGGGTGAGAGATAAAGTTTAAGATGAATTAAACTATCCTCTGTAAGGTGTCTCCCAAATCTAAGAGTGTATAAATCAGTGCACCAAATCCTGTCTAAGCACCTATCAGGTGTAGCAGGGTACCAACCCGAATGCCATTCCAAACCCCTCTTCCTTGTTAACAGGACTCTGAATGTGTTCAAGTACTGGGAAGAAATCTCCTGACATCAGGGAAGGTGGGCCCAACCCCTGGTCTAGGACAAACACATAGCTCAGTTTTGGTCAATTAGATGTAATGGGAACAGGGAAGCATACTGGGGGGTTCCAGAGGAAGATTTCTCTTCCCTTATAAAAGGGAAGAGGTACAGAAAAGAGGCATCTATCTCTCACTGACCTGAATATGGATGTAATATGGATGTGTGAAGACATGATGCTTTGAGCCATAGCAGCCACTTTGCAATCATGAGGGGGAAGAGCAAGAGAACCAGGCACACCAACCTACAGCCCTGACATTATGGACTTGCCAACCTCCAGACTCATGTGAGATAATTAAAAGTCCTCAAGGTTCAAGTGTCTGTCAGATAGATTCTACTACTTGCCTCTGAAAGTAATCTTAACGGATCCGGCGTTGGAATGCAGAGATGAATATGACATGATCCTTGCACTCAAGGAAGGGGCTTACGGTTTACTGGGGAAGATGGGCATGTAAACGAGGAGGCACTCAGGAATGAACTAAGCATCCAGAAATCCCATCCTGGGAGCGGCAGACACAGCTAGAGTCACCAGATTGCACATCTGCGTTTCCAAGCAGAGTCCGTAGTAGGACACCTGCCCACATGCAGACAGCACTGGCCAGCTGGGGGGAGCAGGGAGGGACGGAAGAGCAGGCTCACCTGCTGGGACACAGCGCCTCGCAGGTCCTGCAGCACATCCAACATCTGGAAGATGTCAAACGCACGCACCACCTGGATCCTCTGGAGAGCTCCCGCCTGAAGAGGTAGGAGATAGAAGGGAGAGCTTTGGAGAAGAGGAGCAGGGGGTCGCACAAGATGAAGAGGGATTTTGAGGCTGAGCAGGAAGAGGCACTTAGACAGAAGGACTCAGGTCCAGGATGGCAAATGGGCTTTGTATGATGGGCCAGTTCTCACCAAGGTGGCTGCCTGGTGCTGAGCTGCAAAGCCAAGTCAGAGCTCCGTGGGAAGGAGGGATAGGACTGATTAGTGTGTCTTCTGTGGGCAAGAAATGGGAGAGAAACACAGATACTGGGTGTATGGCAGCCCTGAGTTAGGGTATGGCAGGGGTGGGATGATGTCATAATGGGGAGGCTTGCAGAACAGAAAGTATTAGTAGAACAGCAAGTTTCAAAGCCAGAAGTATCTATTCACACAAATGACCAAAATTCTTGCCACATTGGATAACGGGGTCTTACTTACAGTGTCGGAACCTCAAAGGAACCCAACCCTCCTGCTCTTTACCTGCTCCTCCTCCTCTGGGGTTCTGGCCTGAAGTAGCTGGAGAATGCGGGAAGCTGTGAGCCCTCCAGTGGAATCGATGTATAGGACGTTCTGCTGCAGGCCATGGGCCACGTTTGCAGCCACACGAAGACATACCTGAGTAGAGATGGGGCACTGGGTGAACTTGAGCCCTCAAGGAGGGCCCAGCATGGGTGCTCCCACCAAATCTTGTCCAGATCCCAGAGACACAAATGGGCCCAGTCCAAGCCCCACTCCTCACCACCTATCTTCTCTCTTCTAATCTCTGAATCACAAGCACACTGGCAGAAACTTCCTCAGGGATCCTGGGCTATGCACCCACCTCCCCCAACCGTCCTGGCTGCTGGACGCACGTGTACCTGGGTTTTGCCGCTACCTGGGCCTCCTACGATTTCAGTCACTTCTCCAGTATAGAGACCAGCGTCCAGCAGTTTGTCCAGGCTGATGGCAGAAGAGGAGGCAAGAGAATCAACTGAGGGGATTCGAGGGAAGGGAGGGGAGTAGGAACCAGGAAAAAAAGCAAGACATCCCTTCCAGGCACTGTTCTGTCCAGAGACACTCTAACATCTCTGGCCAGGAGGCTTCTCCTGGTAGTTTCCTTTGGGGAAAGCTGGCACGGCTAAATGTTCCTCCTCTGGCCCCTCATCCTTTCACTCTCAGCTTATAGATCACTCTGGGTGATCACTTCTCCACAGAGGTCTCTTTGCCACCCCATCCAATGGTCCTCTCATTCTCCATCTCAGCCCCTTCTGGGTTTCCTTGATAGCATTTCCCATAATTTGTCATTTTCTAAAACTTTGAAATAATTATAGATTCACAGGAAGTTGCAAAAAACAATGTACAGGGAGGTCCCATGTACCCTTTACCTAGTTTCCCCTAATGGTAGCATCTTTCACTATAAGATGTATTGTACTACACTATAACATTGCAAATTGACACTGGTGCAATCCACAGAGCTTATTCAGATTCACCACCATTATTTCCGTGTGTGTCTGTGTGTATAAGTCTATGCCATTTCATCACATGCATGGGTTTATGTAACCACCACAATCAAGATACAGAACATTTCCATTGCTGCAAGGCTCCCTTGTGCCACCCTTTTATAGCCACTCCCCTTCCATCCAACCCTAATCCCTAGCCCCTGGCAACCGATTAATCTGTTCTCCATCTCTATTGTTATGTTATTTCAAGAATATTATGTACACAGAATCACACAATATGTAACCTTTGTGATTGGCTTTTCTCACTCAGCATCATTCCCTTGAGATCCAAGTTGTCACATGTGTTGATAGTTTGTTCTTTTTTACTGCAGAGTAGTATTCCATGGTATGGATGGACCAAGTTTGTTTAACCATTCACCTATTGAAGGACATTTTAGCTGTTTCCAGTTGGAGGAAATTATAAATAAAACGGCTATGAACATTTGAAAACAGGTTTTTCTGTAAACCTAAGTTTTTATTTCTCTGGAATAGATGCCCCAGAATACAACTGTTGGGTTGTACAGTAAGTGCATATTAATTTCACAAGAAACTACTAACTTGTTTTCCAGAGTGCCTATGCTATTTTACTTTCCCACCAGCAATGTATGAGGTAATCCAGTTTCTCCACACCCTACTAGCATTTGGAGTTATCACCATTCTTTTTTTGTGTGTGTGTGGTACGCGGGCCTCTCACTGTTGTGGCCTCTCCCGTTGCGGAGCACAGGCTCCGGACGCGCAGGCTCAGAGGCCATGGCTCACAGGCCCAGCCGCTTCGCGGCATGTGGGATCTTCCCGGACTGGGGCACGATACTGTGTACCCTGCATCGGCAGGCGGACTCTCAACCACTGCACCATCAGGGAAGCCCTATTTTCCCCATTCTATCGCTTGTCTTTTCATCCTCTTGCAGAGCAAAAGTTTTTGGCCCAGAGCACCCTGGGGCAAGGACTGGGCCTTGTTCACCCCAGAACTGGCACAGTGGCTGAAACACAGGAGATGCACAATAAATGTTTCCAGAGAAATGAGTGATAGAAGGTTTCTATGTTATCAACACTCTGGCTGTGGAAGCCTTGAGATAAATTCAAGTCATGGCCAATCCTAATCCAGTTTCTGTCCCTAAACCACCAGGAAACAGGTCACTACCCACACCCCATATCCTGCCCAACCGAGAGAGCAGACAGCAGAAGCAAGAAGAACTACAATCCTGCAGCCTGTGGAACAAAAACCACATTCACAGAAAGATAGACAAGATGAAAAGGCAGAGGGCTATGTACCAGATGAAGAAACAAGATAAAACCTCAGAAAAACAATTAAATGAAGTGGAGATAGGCAACCTTCCAGAAAAAGAATTCAGAATAATGACAGTGAAGATGATCCAGGACCTCGGAAAAAGAATGGAGGCAAAGATCGAGAAGATGCAAGAAATGTTTAACAAAGACCTAGAAGAATTAAAGAACAAACAAACAGATGAACAATACAATAACTGAAATGAAAACTACACTAGAAGGAATCAATAGCAGAATAACTGAGGCAGAAGAACAGATAAGTGACCTGAAAGACAGAATGGTGGAATTCACTGCTGCGGAACAGACTAAAGAAAAAAGAATGAAAAGAAATGAAGACAGCCTAAGAGACATCTGGGAAAACATTAAACGCAACAACATTCGCATTATAGGGGTCCCAGAAGGAGAAGAGAGAGAGAAAGGACCCGAGAAAATATCTGAAGAGATTATAGTCGAAAACTTTCCTAACATGGGAAAGGAAATAGCCACCCAAGTCCAGGAAGCGCAGCGAGTCCCATACAGGATAAACCCAAGGAGAAACACGCTGAGACATATCGTAATCAAATTGGCAAAAATTAAAGACAAAGAAAAATTATTGAAAGCAGCAAGGGAAAAACAACATATCCTGCCCAACCTATGGGCTGAAATTTCACCTCCTTCTCATCACAGCCTACACTAACACCTCCATGTCCCGGCCACGTGCAACCCTGTCCCAACCCTGTAATCACCCATGGGCTCCAGCCCTTTGTGATGGTCCTTGAAGACCTCCCATGACCCCTCTGTATACGCCAAGCAGCACTTAAGCACCCCATCTCTTTCAATTCCAAGGCTCCCATGATTATAACCACAGGGCCCTGCTGGTCAAAACGCTCTGGTTACCATTCCGGCCCTGCAGCTTCTTGGGATAACTGTGCTCACCTTGTCTCTGTGTAATAAGCACCTTGTTAAAGAGCATCCAGCCTCTGCCACTGCTGGATCCCGTTCCTCCCACTGAGATCAGAGAACCCCCAGTCCCATTATAGCAGTGGTTCTCCCAGAGTGGTCCCCAGACCTGCAGCATCAGCATCACCTGGGAATTGATTAGAAATGCAAATTCTCAGGCCCCACCCCAGACCTACTGAATCAGAAACTCTTAGGGCGAGGACCACATCTGAGTCTCAACAAGGATACATGTTGAAATCTGAACACCATTAGGCTGGACTAGTGTTTCCCAGTCCTGCCTGCATGTTAAAATAACCACAGGAGTTTTAAAAAAAGAGACCTGTATCAGTGATTCCCAAACTTGTCTGCACACTGGAGTCACCTGGGAACTTCAAAAAACACTGATGCTTGTGTTCCAGCCCCGGAGAATGTGATTCAATTGGTGTGTGTGTTTAGGGGCGCAGAATAGGGCTTTGGAATTAAAAAAAAAATTCCCAGGTAATTCTACCGGGCAGAAAAGTTTGGGAACCACTGGCCTAGAGCAATGAAGTCAGAATTTCTAAAGGTGAGACCCAGGCATGAATATTTCTTAAGCTTCCCAAATGATTCTAACATGCAGCCTGGGTGAAACCACTGGTCTTAACTCTCCAGTCAAGAATCAACCCTGGGACTTCCCTGGTGGTGCAGTGGTTGAGAATCCGCCTGCCAATGCAGGGGACACGGGTTCGAGCCCTGGTCCGGGAAGATCCTACATGCCGCGGAGCAACCAAGCCTGTGTACCACAACTACTGAGCCTGTGCTCTAGAGCCTGCGAGCCACAACTACTGAGCCCACGTGCCACAACTACTGAAGCCTGCGCGCCTAGAGCCTGTGCTTTGCAACAAGAGAAGCCACCGCAATGAGAAGCCTGCACACTGCAATGAAGAGTAGCCCCTGCTCGCCGCTACTAGAGAAAGCCCATGCGCAGCAACGAAGACCCAATGCAGCCACAAATAAATAAATAAATAAATTTATAAAAAAAAAAAAAAAAAGAATCAACCTCATTCTTGGCTGTGAGGATCAGTCTCCATAAGGAATTCCCAGATCCACCTCCCAGCAGACTTCTCACCTGTTTCCATTCCATGTCTCCTGATGGACCTCCCTACCAATCATCTCTGCTCATCAACATGGACAGACCACCCCTCTTCCTCCGCCTGCCTTGTGGAGCAGAAGTACAACTGGGTCTTACCACATGTTTTGAACACAAATGATTTCTGGGATTTATCCTCCACCTTTCCCTCTGAACTGGCTTTTAGTCATTCTTTCAGCCATTCATTCAAACATCGCCTGTATGTGTCACATTTCCTGAAGGCCTTTTTCTAAAACGAGGAAGAGGCAGAGATGAACAAGACACAGCTCTGGCCTTCAGGGAACCACCCATCTCCCCAGATAGTATGGCTTCTTCCAAGGCACGCTACATGCTTTCTTGCCCTCGTAAAGATCCACGGTGTCCGCCAGCATTACAAGCTGTGAGAAAGCCTACAGCAGGGAAACCTGCTTCATTTGGGTTAACCAGCATTTCCCGAGTTGTTGACTACAGAACTCCCCTCCCCTCCCGTGTTAGAGTTACATCCATCAAGGGTCCAAAGAACACTGTGAGGATGGCTAGAAACCTACTGGGTCGTCTTTGATTCTTCACATCTATATTCCCCCTGGCAGGAAGGCTTATCACATTTCTTCAGCGTGCCTCCTGCCATCCCCTGCCCTACATTGGCTCACACACCCTCCCCTGCCATATCCTCCTGGGCCTCTCTCCTGCCAGGCTCCCCAGCCCCATCCACCCTGCCCACCTCCACCCTATGCCTGTAACTCTACTTTCACAATACAGCCTCCTGCCTGGAGGAGGCAATAGGGCAGATGCGTTAGAGGTGGGTTCTTATGCTTAGGAGCCTGACAGGTGTGACGTCAAGGGTCTGGTCTGCCACTTACTAGCTGAGGTATCTTTTTTTTTTGGGGCCTCGCCATACAACTTGCAGGATCTTGGTTCCCTAACCAGGGATCAAACCTGTGCCCCCTGCAGTGGAAGTGCAGAGTCCTAACCACTGGACCCCCAGGGAATTCCCTAGCTGTGGGATCTTGAGCAAGTCACTTAACCTGAGTCCCAGTTTCTTCATCTACAGGATGATGATTTTCATTGCAACGCACTCATTGTGATTGTGAAGATAAATGAAACGACATACCTGGAGTAACGGTGCCGGAATACTCAGAGAAGGCCCATCCGTTCCTCACTGCCCAAGGCCCGCCTCCTGCATAGAGCCTTCCTGAATCTCTCTGATCTCCCCTGCAGTGACTCACCGTGGCTGCCATCTTGCCAGTTTATCACCTGACTGCTTCCTCTGTATAATGCTGGTTTTATAAGCTCCCAAAGGCCAAGGCTGCTCCTTGTTAATCACCCCCTCATTTTTCTTTTTTCTTTTTTTTTTTTTTGCCACACCATGCAGCTTGCGGGATCTTAGCTCCCCAACCAGGGATCAAACCCGGGCCCCTGGCAGTGAGAGCCAGGGAATTTCCAATCACCCCCTCCTTATGCTGCCTCCCCGCATGCTCACACCTCTCTCTTGTGTTTACCTGCCTTCTCTACCCAATGGGTTCTTAAGTGCCTCGCCTCACCCGTACCCGTATCATCTGCACTTACCTGGAACCCGTAGGCACTCGGCCAGTTCTTGATGAATGACAGAACTGAACCCCCAACCTGGGGAAAACAAGCACTGTGTTCTATGAACCTTGCCAAGAGAATGTGTTATGGAAACAGGGAGGGCCAAACCAATCCAAAGACCTTTGTGGTGGCAGAGTTCTTTATCAAATTCTGCACAAACAGGCCAAGAATGAGGTCAGACTTCCTTGTCCAGAAGCCGCCTGTTTTCTTCCAACTCTTTCTCTCTCCACACAACATGGCAGAAGATAACTACTCTCATTCCCTCCTGCTGCAGAGTACGGGGAATGAACCAAGTTCTGGATCAAGTGCCCCAGGGCTGGAGCCCCACCTCTGCCCCTTACTCCTCTTGGGCTAAACTCAAGTGGGGTTAATAATCACTAACTCGGGCTTCCCTGGTGGCACAGTGGTTAAGATTCCGCCTGCCAATGCAGGGGACACAGGTTTGAGCCCTGGTCCAGGAAGATCCCACATGCCATGCAGCAACTAAGCCCATGTGCCACAACTACTGAGCCTGCGCTCTACAACCCACGAGCCACAACTACTGAGCCCACGTGCCACAATTACTGAAGCCCGCGCGCCTAGAGCCCGTGCTCTGCAACAAGAGAAGCCACCGCAATGAGAAGCCCGCGCACCGTAACAAAGAGTAGCGCCCACTCTCCACAACTAGAGAAAGCCCACGCCCAGCAACGAAGGCCCAACACAGCCAAAAATAAATAAATTTTAAAAAAAGAAAAAAAAAATCACTAACTCACAGGGTCACTGAAGAGATTATACAACCTATTATATAACCTACTATGTGTCAGTGGCTGGTATGTAGTAGGCACTCAGTCAATGTTAGTCCTGCCATGCTCTCTCTTGCCCCATCCATAAGGGAAAGAGGGGGTAGGGGCAGAGAAGAGTTGCTCTGATCTGCTAAATAATAATGAAATACTGACATCTTGTGTTATAGGACAGTGGTTCTCAACCAGCGGTAATTTTGCCACCCTGGGGTGGGGGGGGTCATTTGGTCACAGCTGGAGACATTTTTGATTGTCAGACATGGGAAGGGAGGTGCTACCCGGCTTCTAGTGGCTAGAGGCCAGGGATGCTGCCAAACATCCTGCTGTAAGTGCAAGACAGCCCCCCCCCAAATAATTCTGCATTCCCAAAAGTTAAGAGTTGGAGAAACCCTGTTATAGCTTAAGAGAACTCGAAGTCCTGAACATCCTCACCACTGTTTGAAAAAGCCTGCTCTCCCTAGACACAAGTATCAAAAGCCCGCCTCTCACCTTTTCCCCCAAGTACCCACACAAACCTTGCAATGCCGGTGGACAGGATGGCAGTGGAGGTCTTCAGCTCCTCGTAGAGATCAGCGCCATTGAAGGGGAAAGCTGAGAACTGAGCCAGCAGCACCCGCCTCAGGGCAACCAGGGCCTGCGGAAGGGGCGGGGAAACTCAGGAGAGGGCCGGGGCGCTCCGACCCGAAGCAGCCCAGAGTACTCGGCAGTGACCCGCCAACGGAGGAGGCCCCCAGGGTCTCATACGGCCCCCTTATCAATCTCTGGGAACCCTCTGCTCAGGGATGGGCATTTAGAGACATCCAGGTTTGGAGCGGAGATTGTCAGCTCACCTTATAAGACAAGCCACATTTCTGGGCTACTTCCTCCAGGTCTGCTGAAACCAGGTCCACCACTGAAAACAAAACACGTGGGGTTGGTGGGCAGGAAGGAGGCTCGGGGGCGTCGCTCACTTGACTTTTCCTCGCCTACGTCGACTAGCTGAGCCGCAGGACCTGGCGTGGTGCCTGGCACACAGTGGGGGTTCTACCCTTCCTGGGGCGTGGCTAGCTCGCTCCCACCTTCCCGGGCTCTCAAGGAGGCTGTGGGCAGAGGAGGGGGGGAGGGGCCCCCCACTCCCGGGGGTGCCAGGGCCGGGGCCGGCCTCCGCGCTGGGCCCGGCCGCGTGGCCCGCACTGGCGCACGCCTGCGATCACCTGTCTTGATCCCGCGGCTCCGCAGAAGCTGGACCATGTCCTGGGTGAGACCCGGGCACAGTCCGGCCCGGAGCAGGCCCATGTTCCCTGGGGGCCCGGGGCCGCTCGTCCCGGGGACATCCGTGGGGCCCTTTCTGGACCAGCGCGGGAGGCGAGAAAGAGGCGGGAGGCGGAGGCGGCGCGGAGGGTGCGGAGCCTGCGGGGACGCCGGCACCCACAGTCCTCTCGCTCGGACCGCGCCGCAGCTTCCGGCTTCCAGGCTCCAGGGCCCGGCCTGCGGCGCCACCTGCTGGCCACGGGCCGGATGCGCGAGCCGGGCGGTTGGGGCGGAGACTGCGCGGGCGGCACGGAGCTGGCTCCCCTGCGCCGAGGCCACCGCGCCCAGATCTGCCACCCTGCGCCCGCATGCGTCTCTGCCTTCTACCCGATCTCGCCTCCCTGCAGACCTCCCAGGTGCAGCCTTCTGTTCTGAACACTGGGCCAGAACGTTCGATCGGACGGACCATCCCTACGCTCAGGGACGTACTTGTTAGGGAAGACAGGAAAGAGGAAATCAAATAAATCAGATAATTACCGATCATTTGATGGGTGCTAAAAAGCAGCAGAGTACAGAGAGGGCATCTGCTTCTCTATTTTCCAAATAAAAGAATTTGTAAATGAAAGACAACAAAAACCCTGAGTATATAGAACACACACACACACACACACACACACACACACACACAATTTGGTATTTTTAAATGTCCTTTGCTTGACCTCATCCTCTGGAAGAAAGAAAACAACTTTACAGGGTTATCTCCTCACAATCCAGTAAGGTAGGTGCTATGTTTATTCCTGTTTTACAGATGAGGAAACTGAGGTGCAAAGAGGTGAAGTCATTTGCCAAAGGTTTCACAGCCTGTAAGGGCAGAGCTGGACTTAGAGTAGACAAAACCACATGTAGGTCAAAGCTAGTGCTGTTTTAACAGCTTTTCCTACTATGACATGTTTTTTTAAAATTTTTTTAAATTATTTATTTATTTATTTTATATTTAGGCTGCACCGGGTCTTAGTTGCTGCACGCAGGATCTTCATTGAGGCATGTGGGATCTAGTTCCCTGATCAGGGATTGAACCTGGGCCCCCTGCATTGGGAACATAGAGTCTTAGCCACTGGACCACCAGGGAAGTCCCCCTACTGTGACATGGTTTCCTTGAGAAAAAGAAACAACACAACGTCTGGCCCATTTCTGTATGACTCTGCAGCACCCACCGTTGTCACTCAACACATGATGACGCTTGGGGTGAGGGTGTGGCAGAATTTAGAATTCCAGCAGTAAAACCTGGGTGTATGTGAGCTATGAACCTCATGAACCATCTGGGATTTCCCTGTGCCTACACAACTGGACGAAGTGGGTTTGCTGCCTAGGATTTCTGGGTATAGAGTCTCAGGATTCTATAGACAAAGTTCCCCACTCCCAGAGGCCCAGTCCAGTACTGCCTGCCTCCCTCCATGCCCAGGTGCCTTTGTATCACCATCAATCTCCTCCTTCCTAGGGCAGGTCCGAAGGGCACCGGTGGTGAGCATTCTGAGATTTTCAGAGAAGGGCAGGGCTGCTGTAACCACAGAGCCTTAGCCCAAGGGGTGTTGTAGTCTCTTCCTTGACTCTATCCACTCCTGACATTGGCCCTGGGCAGCAGCAGCCTCAGATCAAGGGGGAGGCTGGCCCCTAATTGTTACACTCTCTGACGATTATGAAGTCAGCTCATTGCACTCCCATCCCACCCAAACTAAGGGTGTGTCCTCTGCCTCCAGTTTCTCTCTGCTTCCTGTCAGCTTGGTAGTCCTGCATGGTGACGGCTGTGGTCCCAAACAAGGTAGATGGCATCAGAGACACTCTATAAACTGGGAGATGGGGAGGAGACCACACTGAAGAAGGAAACCCTCAACATTTTGAACGCACTCAATCAAATGTTGAAGCCCTTTCCAAACCCCAAGTCTATGAACAGGACCGTCACTACCAAAGGACTCCCATTTTCCTCAGGGGGCAGTTTGGTTAACTTCTTGGAGGAAGGTGCCATCCATCTACTGTAAGACACAAGTCTGGTCCTTTTCTCCTTTCTAAAACCAGACCTGGGGGGTGGGGGTGGGAAGAGGGGCTTGAAGAGGCAGTACTTCCTTGACTTATCACAGTCACGACTCCCAGGGAAGAGCATGTGTGCAGGTTGCCTATGGAGTCCTGACCTCTGATCAGGTTCTTGGAGGCATGCCGTCCTCCGCCTCTGGGAGGCCTTTCAGGATTAGTCAGAGATTTCCTGGCGGTGCTTGTCATCCTGCTTTGTCCTTGTCATCCTGCTTTGTCCTCATCACCCCCACACAGACCCCCTGCCCCCTCCACTCCCCACGGCTCCTTTGCCTCATCCTCCCTATTGTACCTTCACCTGCCTGGTTATGTGCCCCCAGTAGCCTGCCTGCCTTCAGATTGAGGTTTGCTGTTCCTCCTCAGTGATTCTGGGTTTCTTTTACTTCATTTCACAAAACTCTTTGAGCACTTACAAGGTATCTGGCCCAAGGTTAAGTTCTGAGAATGCAGAGCCAGAAAGCACAGTCTCTGCCTTCAAGGAGCTCCCAGCCTGGGGTGTGTGTGTGTGTGCGTGTATGTGTGTGTGCATGTGTTTGTGTGTTGGGGGGCTATCAGGCAAGAACTGAGAATATTACAGCATGGTCTGCGCTATGACGGGACAACTGGAGGAACCAGAGGAGGCTTAGTTTAGCTTGGGAGGAGGTGAAGTTAAGGGAGGCTTCATGGAGGAGGTGACTCTCATAGGAAGGGAAGGAATTAGCCAGTGGAGGGATGGTGGTGTGGGTTGATGTGGACTGAGGGAACTGTCTGCCGGGAAGTTTCATGGGTGTGTGACCTGGGCAGTCACACACAGCCCGACACTTAGAAGTGCCCTGTGCTTAGTTTAATGCTCAGATGTCACTGTCCTGAAATTCTTAATAGTTTCTGAAGAAGGGGTCCTGATTATATGAAAGGGATATGGTGTCCACTCCCTAAGGGACCTGTAAGTAAGCAGATATGGCTAAAGTGATGGATGCTTGTAGGAAACTTCCTGGTATGGGGTGAAAGTCTTGGGCTAGGAGCCCAAGTTTAAATCCAAGTTCTACCATTTAGATATAGGGCCATAGACAAGTTAAATAAGATCAGGGACCCTCGGTCCCTCATTTGTAAAATGGGGCAAACACCATCCAGCAGGGCTACTGTGAAGATCACTAAGGCTGCCTTCCACGCCCCTTCAGCACTGGTGTTTCCAGTCAGTAAGTCTAAAATAGAGATGCGTTAAGACAATCTATAGTAAAACTGACATCCATACCCAGACTCTTCAGCCTATAAAGGGCCTTGGTGGGGGAATCATCTATTCCAAGCATCCACCGAGGGCTAACATAGGAGGTTTGGGCTGATCAGGATTTCTCAGGGCGAGGTTGATGGGGCTGGAACTCAAGGAGGAAAAATTTGGCCTTGATCAACCAATCATGAAGCTGGGGGCTGTCCTGGCATAAGGGATGTAAGGGTGTGTGTAGGTTGCTGGATCTGGCTAGAGCAGCCCGGGGAGAAGGGGGACGAAGCAGTGGAGGGGAGCCAGAAAGCACACGGGGCAGATGGGAGCTGTGTAGCGTGGGGCCCAGGAGATCTGGGTTCTGGTTCCAGCTCTGCCATGGACTTATCGTGTGACCTTGGTCAAGGTGCTTGGTCCCCAAAGGCCTTGTGACCACTCTCTCCAGACAGGGTTCTTCAGACTGAGAGTTGTGACCCATGAGTGGGTCAGGAACTCATTCTGGTTGGTGGAGACCAGTATTACAAAAATGAAATAAAATAGAATTGAAAATTTCAAAGCACATCACACATAGAGTAAGGATTGGTTTGTGAAACATTTTAGTTACATGTGTATGTATGAGTATACTAGCTTGCCAAGAAATATGTATTTCCTACTTTGGCTTAAGAGAAAAAAAAGATTTGAAAGCCAAATGTTTTGGATTCTGTACTTCAACAGCAAAACCTTTTAAAGAGCAGGGAAATATGTACAAGGTTTTTCTTTGTAATAGCAAAGAATTGGTTAGAATACACATATCCATGTAATAGAAAACATACAGCAGTTAAAATGATTGAACCAGAGCAGATTAATCTAAAATATACAATGTTTTAAGTAAAAAACAGCAAGCTACAAATGGGTATGTACTGAATGATAACATTTATTTATATAAAGTTTAAAAATATGCAAACTAATAACATATGAATGTAACAAACCTATAAAAACACATGGGGAATAATAAATACAAAATTTTAAATTTACTGCACAAGCTACCTCTGAGTGGGAGGATGAGGAGAGAGGTGGAGGAGTGAAGTATACAGGGGCCTTTAACTGCACTGATAAAGATTTAGTTCTGGGCTTCCCTGGTGGCGCAGCAGTTGAGAGTCTGCCTGCCAATGCTGGGGATACGGGTTCGTGCCCTGGTCCAGGAGGATCCCACATGCCGCAGAGCGGCTGGGCCCGTGAGCTCATGGCCGCTGAGCCTGCGTGTCTGGAGCCTGTGCTCTGCAACGGGAGAGGCCACAACAGTGAGAGGCCTGAGGACCGCAAAAAAAAAAAAAAAGATTTAGTTCTGACCTGGGCTGGATGGTGGCTAAATGGAAGTTTAATATATTATAGTATGTTCATTTCCAGTTTTATTGAGACACAATTGAATTTTAACAATGCATTAGTTTAAGGTGTACAACATGATTTGATAATTGTATATATTGTTAAATCATTACCTTAGTAAGCCTAGTTAACATCCATCACCACAGTTACAAATTTTTTGTGTGTGTGATGAGAACTCTTAAGATCTAATCTCTTAGCAACTTTCAAATATACAATACAATATTGTTAATTATAGCCACCATTTTGTACATTACATCCCCATTAATATATTACTCTTGATATCTTGGAGTGTGTCTGAAAGCTTTCATAATTTAAAAAATTTAGAATGGAAGAAAAAAGTTTTTGAGAATTCATCCCAATATATATATATTTATCTGTACTGTTAATTTTTACATGCTATATATTAATACATATTGTTAAATGTTATAAAACCTAAGTAAATAAATTAGTAATTACATAATAAACAATAGTGAATAAATATTAATAAAACTTAATTTATTATTTTTCTTTTAGATACTTTTAGATATTTTTCCATATCCCGGTAGATCAT